GCATTCTAATGTGGATTGAATTCAGGAAGCATTAAGGCCCCATTGTTCTTTGCTCTCAAGACTTTTTCTCTTTGAGTTTCTTTTAGGTTCCATAAGTATTAGTATTCTGGGTTTGTTTTTTTTTTTCCCCCATTTGTATAAAGTTGAAATGAGATTTTGTGAGTGGTTTCAATATATATGTACATCACTTTTAGTTGTATAAGGTCAACAGCACTAAATATTCCAGTCTGTGAATATGCTATGCCATTCCATTTACTTGTGTCTTCTTTCTCTCAACAGTGTACAATGGTTTTCAGTGCCCAAATCTTGCACTTCCTAATGAGCCTCTTGCACTACCTTGTTTGAGTCATCTGAGTCAGGGACGGGAAAGACAGGCTCATGAAGAGAGGGAATGTCCTCTCTCCCCTCTGTGCCTACCCTCTGGTTACTTGTAGTACAGGTGTGCAGGGCCATGCCTTCACCTCTGCCTACAAGTGAGCCCCCTCTGGGAATTTTCTTTAAATCTGAGTGTTTACTTTACTATTGAAATGTCCACAAGCACTCTCCCAATGCCTGGCCTGTGTCCAAGAGCCCCAGGTATACCTACATATGACTGAGCATATGAGACCATCAAATCTTCTGCAATAAAGAAAAACCTGAACAGCAGCTCAGCGTCTTTTCCTTATCATTGGAGCTCTTAGAGCTGAATGTTCCAGTGGAGTAGCCACTACTCAGATCAGCCTATTTATAATCAATATACTTCAAACAATATTTAATGTGTTATATTTTTAAAAAGCCCCACAAAAACCACAGAATTACTTGGTCACACTAGTGATATTTCAGGTGTGTCCATAAATGTTGGAATTTCAGTTTCATAAGCTTGAATGTAAGAGCTATATTGAGCATGTGGAAAAGTAAGGTTGGGATTCTCTCAGGATCTCTATGTCATGTGAAATTTTGCAACTGTGATCAACATCTTGTTGAAAGGCTCTGACTCCGCCAAGCACAGGGAAGGTCTGTGAACCTGGAGGGAAGACCAGGGAGATGCTTTGTGAGCCAAGAGGAGGAGGAAAGATGGAAGGGTCAACTTGTATAATAACTGTATTATTGCTCATGGTTGTCTTTCTACAGAAATGTATGCTAGAGAGTCTTAGCAGCAGTGATGTAGAAGAGAATTAGATAGGACACAGGTCTCAGGGAGAGTAGGATTTAGAGGGAGAGGGTTCCTGAACCACTCAGGTTATACCTGCTTCTTTGGAGATAAAACAGGTGAATATGAACTGAGGATTTAAATTGGAGGGAGAGAGTTTCTGGACCACTTGGGAGATAAAAGAAGGTGAATATAAACTGAAGAAGAAGGGAGTATGTGTAAGCTTGTGATTTGTTCCTCGTATTTTAATGAAATAATAAACTGTGTGTGCATGTGCTTTGTTGTGCTGCGCCTGTAGTCGTCTCTTGTTGTAGACATCTCTTCTTGCTTTTACGTTTAGAAATGTCCTTTCTCACAAGACTCCTCTTTCTTTGTCCTTTCATTGAGAAACATGAGAGAATGGCTTATGGTTAGTGCCTTCAGAGTCTTACATACAAGGGACTTCGGGCCTGTTTAAATTCTCCTATGATGGCCACATCCTAATGGGACCAAAAGCCTAATAGTTACTTGACACTGCAGGCCAAGCTCTTGCAGTGAGTGTCAGGTTCTGGGTGAGATATGAACTCGCTACCTCTGCGTTTTCAGGACTCGTAGATTGCCCTCACGTTTGTCTTCATTGTTTATTGCTCATGTAAAGGGTGTTCTCGGGGTTGGATAAGTCAACGCACACAGGCTCTGGCATCCCAGACTGGACTGAGTCTCCTGGAGCTCATCTCAGCTTCCAGCCCAAGGATGCTGTGCTGAAGGCGCCTTCACGTGGGAGCGGTCCATGCCCCGTTGCCCCTGGAGACCAGCAAGCCCCCAGACGCTTGACAATGTGAGGGAGCCGCTGGCTTTCCTAACACACTGGCTCTCACAGCCCTGCTGACCTGGCCTCCTGGGCCTGACCAGACCCAGGTCAGAGACTCAGAGCAGTGGGACCCAGGATCACTGTTCCACGTAGAACCCAATGCTCCCATCTAGACAGCCCTGCCCCTGCTCTGCACACCCCAGTCCTGCCCACCCTGTTACCTTTACTCAAACTTTCCCAGGTTTGATTCCTCCCAGTCTTTCCAAGATTGGGGTAAACCCTGACTGGGGCTGTGTGTATATGAGGCTTCCCTATCTGTAAAACCTTTGTGGCATCACGTCAGACTAAGACACTTTGGACATGTTACTTTAATTATAATATTGTGTTCATCCTCCCTAAGGGGCTAAGAGACTTAAGCAGTTATTTTGAGCACCAAGTTTCTCCCAGTTATCTAAAGTTAGCTCAGGCACAGAATACTTGTTACCTGAAGTTGGTTGTGTATCTAGGCTGTTGTGGAAAGTGATGCAGTGAATTTAGGACTGCAGATATCTCTTTGTGATACTGATTTAATTTCCTTTGTATATATATCCAGAACTGTGTTTGCTGAATCGTATGCTACTCCTTTCATACATTTATAAGGAAACTTTTACTGTTTTCCACAACATAGCCACACAATTTACATTCCCACCAGCAGTGTACAAAGGTTCTAGCTCCCCACATCATGGCCTTAACCTGTTAATTCTTTGCCTTTATAATATACAAACTAACAGGCATGAGGTGTTGATTTACTTTGCCCTGATGATTAGTGAGGTTGAAAACCTTTTCCTTTGTATGCTAGTCATTTGTCTGTCTTGTTCCCGAAATGTCTGTTTAAATCTTTGCACATTCCTCAACTCCCTTATTTACTCTTTTTAATATTTTTTTGTTTTGCATTTGAGCTGTGGTATTTTCTTATGAATTTTGAGGATGAGCTCCTTATCTGATACATGGCTTGTAATTTTTCTGTAGGTTATCTTTTCATCGTACTGATTTATTGAAGAGACTACCCTTTTCCTATTCCATTGTCTTAGAACCTTGATGAATTTCATTTGACCATGTATCCGTGACTTTTCTTGGAGCTCTGTATTCTGGTCTTTAGGGCTATGTATCTATTTCTATGTCAGTATCATACAGGTTTGATTCCTATATCTTTGTAATGTGTTTTGAAATCAGGAGGTGAGATATTTTGATCTTTGTTTTCAAGGTTATTTTGTCTATGTGGAGTCCTTAGCAGTTCCATATATATCTTTGGATTTGTTTTTCCCATTTCTATGAAAATGATGTTAATACTTTGATTGGTGTTGCAATGAATTTTTACTTAGCTTTGGGTACTATAAAAATGTCAACAGTACCAAGTCTCCAGTCTATGAGCATGATCTGTCAGTTCAATTCCTCGTGGCTTAGTTCATTCTCTCAGTGGGGTGTGTAGTGTTCAGTGTGCTGGTCGTTTCTCTCTGAAGACCCTGTGTCCCTCCCTCCCTGATCTCAGAGTCAGTGGTGGAGGTATGGGCTGGTGAGGAGATGCAGTGTCCCTCCCTCCGTCCTCACCTCTTCTCTGATGATGTTCAGCACAATTGCCCTGGGCCCTGTGTCCACACCTGTCCCCTCAAGTGGAACACCTGCTGGGAAATCCTCTAAGATCTAGGTATTGGCATTGCTGTTTCAGTGTCCCAAAGGCTCCTGAGTACGTGGGTTGTATTCACAAGCGCAGGAAATACCTACAAAAATGAATCATCAAATCAGGCCAGCCAAATACTCTGCAGAAGCTGTTGGGCTACATTTTGCAGGCCTGCAAGTGCTGTACTTTGCCTGGACTTGAGACCAAAAAAAACTCCAGAGTTGACAGAGATATCAAAGGGTTAATAGATGGGACATCTTACATATCTGAAGTAAATGGGTCCTGGAGATGAAAGGTTGTTGCTGAACCACAAAAAGACTCCGAGATTCTTGGCCTCCGGAGGAGAAGAATTCAATCCAGGGCCAGAGACGAGGCTTGATCCCTCAGAGCTTTTGTGTAATAAAGTTTAATTAAAGTATAAAGGAGACAGAGAAAGTTTCTGACATAGGCATCAGAAGGGGGCAGAAAGAGTGCCCCCCTGTTAGTCTTTAGCTGGATGTTATATAGTCACTAGCAGTTTGTTAAGAAAGAAAGGAGGGTGTACGTGCAGAGCGCGCAGAGCGAGTGGCGCCCACACGCCCTGCGCTGCTCCGCCGGCCGAGCCGGCCGCCGGGAACGCTGAGGCGGCGGTGGCCAAGGCGGCGGGTCTCGCGCGCCGGGCCCGCGTGCCCGAGCGGAGGGCGCCGTCCGCCGCGCAGGCCGCGCTCCCTCAGCCCGCGGCGGTGATGAGGCGCTGAGGCGGCGGCCGGCGCTGCGTGGCGCGACCGAAGGACGAGGACGCGGCCGGGCCGAGGGCGCGGGGCGCCGGTCTCCTGAGGCGAGGGGCGGCGGGCGCATGGCGCAGTGACGGCCCCTGCCGCTCCACCCGCTCCCCGGCCCGAGGCTAGGCCGTCCGGCCGCCACCCCTCCTGCTCGGCCGCTGCCTCCAGCCCCGCCGCCATGGCCAATGACAGCGGAGGGCCCGGTGGGCCGAGCCCGAGCGAGCGAGACCGGCAGTACTGCGAGCTGTGCGGGAAGATGGAGAACCTGCTGCGCTGTAGCCGCTGCCGCAGCTCCTTCTACTGCAGCAAGGAGCATCAGCGCCAGGACTGGAAGAAGCACAAGCTCGTGTGCCAGGTCGGCGAGAAGGTTTCTGCCCCCGGCACGGGCCAACCGTTAAGCCGGGCCGCGTGCCGCCGCCCAGGGCCGCCGAAGCCAGGGAGGCCAGGAAGGCGGCGCCGCGCCGGGACCGAGCCGTCGAGGCCGCGGGTCCGCGGGCCTCCGGAGACGCGGCCAAGGCGAAGGCAAAGGCCAAGCCTACGGCCGACCCCGCGGCAGCCGCGTCCCCGCCCCGCGCGGCCCCCGGCAGCCAGGGTTGTGTAGCCGCGGCCGCCGAGGCGGACTCCGCGAAGGAGGAGCTGCTGGCCCGCCCGTCGCTGTACCAGGAGAGGGCGAACCTGTACCCGCTGAGTAACGCGCCGGGCGAGGGGCTGAGCCACGGCGGCCTGCGGCCCAACGGGCAGACGAAGCCGATGCCGGCACTGAAGCTGGCGCTGGAGTACATCGTGCCCTGTATGAACAAGCACGGCATCTGCGTGGTGGACGACTTCCTGGGCAAGGAGACCGGCCAGCAGATCGGCGACGAGGTGCGCGCCCTGCACGACACGGGCAAGTTCACGGACGGGCAGCTGGTCAGCCAGAAGAGCGACTCGTCCAAGGACATCCGAGGCGATAAGATCACCTGGATCGAGGGCAAGGAGCCTGGCTGCGAAACCATCGGGCTGCTCATGAACAACATGGACGACCTGATCCGCCACTGTAACGGGAAGCTGGGCAACTACAAAATCAATAGCCGGACGAAAGCCATGGTTGCTTGCTCTCCTGGCAATGGAACAGGTTACGTACGTCATGTCGATAATCCAAATGGAGATGGAAGATGTGTGACATGTATATATTATCTTAATAAAGACTGGGATGCCAAGGTAAGTGGAGGTATACTTCGAATTTTTCCAGAAGGCAAAGCCCAGTTTGCTGACATTGAACCCAAATTTGATAGACTGCTGTTTTTCTGGTCTGACCGTCGCAACCCTCATGAAGTACAACCAGCATATGCTACAAGGTACGCAATAACTGGTATTTTGATGCAGATGAGAGAGCGCGAGCTAAAGTAAAATATCTAACAGGTGAAAAAGGTGTGAGGGTTGAACTCAATAAACCTTCTGATTCGATCAGTAAAGACGTCTTATAGAGCCTTTCATCCAGCAATACCCCACTTCACCTACAATACTTATTGATGCTACTTGTTAACTTGTGAATACAAATAAATGGGATAAAGAAAAATAGACAGCCAGTTGGCAGTTTAAGGAAACAGAAACAACTTTTTTGTGTTGCGTCAAAACAGAGGTTTTGACTGTGTGGCTCTGTACTGCATGATCGACTCCAAACCTGTGATGGGAGGAATGTAAGTTATCAACTGAAAGTGGTGTTTACATCTGGACATGAAATAAGTGCCCTAGGCAGAATTGTTTTCATTCTTATATTTTGCCAGATCTGTCATCTAGCTGAATTCATTTCATCTCTCCCTTTTTTATATAGTCAAGTTTGAATTTGAAATAATTTTTGTATACTCAGGTACAATTTATCAAAACTGAATTGAGAAAACATTACAGTATTATTTCCCAAAATAGTATCAATCTATTTTTGTAAACCTCTTCGTACTATTAAATTTTGCCCTGAAAAGCCTCTTAAAAAAAAAAAAAAGAAAAGAAAAGAAAGAAAGGAATGTCTTAAAATTCAGAATGGCACCAGGCCCCTCATCCATAAGATGTATTTTGGGATAATCTTGGCACCGGAAGAGTCATCCCAGGCCATAAAATGATTGACTTGAATCCTGTAGACAGGCAGATTACCATACAAATAGTTTCGTTTACATAGATTAGGGGAACAATGTCTGAATATAGCATAATGGTTTGTCAAGTAGGTTCTGAACCATTAGGCAGAATGGACTTCAAGACAGAGTTTGGGGTAAAGGCATAGCACATTAACATAGCTTAAGACAAACATTTCCATAAGAAGAGTGCATTGGTTAACTCAAGGTTTGAGAATAGTTAACTTCAGGTGGAACCAGGTGTCATTATGGCAACACAGTATTTTAAGAGAAATCTCCTTTTAAATTTGTATAGAAAAGGGGGGAAAAAAAAAGCATCATTCCTGCCGCTTAAGAGAGAGATAAAAATGTCTGACACTTGAAGCCTATTTCCTCTGTTTGGAGACCCCTGGCCTTTCTGCCTGTTACCCTCTCAGAGAGATACCCACTGTGGATAGCAGGGGACAGGCAGAAGACAGCAGCTATAGTTTTCTTTACTCTGAGGGGATAAGGAGTCTACCAGTTACAGTGGGAATGAACAGCAGATTGGCCCATTGATTACCATGGAAACCAGAAAAGGGCCACATCTCTCTTAGCCCCTCAGGCTAAATGCTCTCATGCGTCAGAGGTCTTTTCTTTGTTAATTTAACAGCAAACAGTCATCTTGAAATGGCCAGAAAACACAAAGGAAATAACAAGAGAGGGGTGTTAACACCCTGTATATATCCATGCATACTCAGTCACTTAGTTATGACCCCACTGTTTGTGACCCCATGGACTATATCCCACCAGGCTCCTCTGTCCATGCTATTTTCCAGGCAAGAATATTGAACTGGATTGTCATTTCCTCCTCCAAAGTATCTTCCCAACCCAGAGATTGAACCCACGTCTCCTGCATTGGCAGGCAAATTCTTTACCACTAAGCCACCTGGGAAACACCTTCACTTGTACCAAAGTTCCTGTTCTGCCGTCATCTGTCAGAATCGGCAGGACTCGTGGTGATGATCTGAAGATTCATTCAGTCTTTCCTGGTGACTCAGACAATAAAGAATTCACCTGCAATCCAGAAGACCTGGGTTAGAACCCTGAGTCAGGAGGATCCCCTGAAGAAGGAAGTGACTAACCACTCCAGTACTCTTGCCTGGAGAATTCCATGACAGATGGCCCTGGCAGGCTAGTCCCTGGGCTCACAAAGTGCTGAAATCGACTGCATGAGTTATCTGCACACATATATAAACATATATAGTGGCTTTTGTGTATTATAGTTGGTAGGCACTAGCGAGTTGTGACTGCTATAATTTACTTAAAGGCATGTTATACATGTGTCAAAACACTTGTGATTTCAGGTTGGTTAGCATGAAGGTGAGAGCTCTAGTGGACATCTAGAAGTGAGAGGTTGAGAATTGACTTTTTCAGCATCTCTATCTTTAGGTTTGCAACTGATATCAGTGACTTACTGAATGACTGTGACTGCACAGAGCACAGATGACTGCCATCTGCTATCCACAGTGGGGTGTCTCTTCAGGACCTTGGGAAAAAGGTCAAGGTGATGCCGTGAGATCCAGCAGGCATCAACTGGAGGATATGTGGGTGGGTTGCTCATTCTAACCACCTTTTTGCTCATGGAGTGTACTGTGGAGGGCATTTGGTGCAGTGATGAGAAAGGGGAGACAGGTAGCTAACAAGATTCCATTGGGATCTGATGGGAGAGGGTTCTGGAAGTTAAACCCTCTGTTAACCCCAGAGTTAAACTCTCTGTTTGGTGGCTAAGAAAAGTGAACCTGAAATTAAGAAGAAGGAAATGTGTATAGAATTCTGACTTATTCTTTACATATGAAATGATATGATAGAGAAATTGTGTCCTGGACTTGCATTGTGCTCTATTTCTAATCAGCTTTTGTTGCTTTACTCTTCAAAAATCATTTTTCCTATAAGAGCTGCTCGTTTCTGCTTTTTTTACTAATATGGAAACCTGGTCTCTGGTCAGCACATCTCGGGTATTGTGCACTGCAGGCTGTTTTCTGTTGCATGTTGAACTATGAGGACCATATCCTAGTGGGCACAAAACTCTCATTGTCAGTTGACACTGGAGACCACGTCCTTGCAGTGCCTGTGAGGTGGTGGGTGAGATGTGAACTCTCTCCTCCTGCACTTTCAGGACTTGTGACTTCCCCTCATGTTTGTCCTCACTGTTAATTCCTCGTGTAGAGGGCGCTGCCGGGGGTGGATGAGTCACAGCACACAGGCTCTGGGGTCCCTGCCCGGGCCCGGTCTCCTGGGGCTCTTCACAGCCTCTGCAGCAGCCAAGGCTGATGTGCTGAAGGCGCTTCCGGGTGAGAGGTCCATGTCCTGCTGCTCCTGGAGACCCTCCACATCTGCAGATTCTAGAGTCTGTGAAGGGCCCACGGGGCTTCCTCACACACTTGCTTTCACAGCCCTGCTGACCTGGTCTCCTAGGATTGGGCATTCCCAGGGCAGCAGGTCCTGGGGTCACTGCTACTCTCAGAACCCACTGCTGCATCCAGACAGTCTTGCCCCTTCTCCCCAACCCAGGCCTGCCCCATCCTCTCTCCTTTCCTTACACCTTCCCAAGTCTCATCCCTCCCAATTTTCCAAGTCTCAGTGCAAACCCGGCAGCTACCACATGTTTATGGAGGACCCTTGTCACATTATTCTGGCTAAATGAAATTGGAAGTGTTTGCCTCTATCCTTTCTAAGGGTCTGTGAAACTTGAGGTGTTGCTGTGAGCATTAAGCATCTCCCAGGTAACTCAGGTCACCCCAGGCAACGGGAGAGTCTCTGTTATGTGGAATTTTTGTCCTTCCCTCCCCCAGGGCTCAACACACTCTCAAGTCCATGCCAGCTCCTCCCTTGGAGAAATGTATTGGTTAATTGAGTAATGGACTGATTGGAGACAGTGGCCATACACCGATGTTCCTCCTTCTAATGTGTCCACATTGCAAACTCTGGGGTTGCTAGAGGTTGAAGGAGGAAGTAAAGTAACAGTGACTAGAGGAGAGAAATAAGGAAGCAATTAGAGAAGAAGCAGCAGGAGAAGGAGGCAAGGAAGGCTGTGGGCAGAGATGCATGGAGACAGTGACCACCTGGAGGAGGAACAGATTGGCACAGCCTCATTCTTGGTCACACATAGGCAAGTTGAGGGTGGCAACAGGATGTTGGAGGTCAAAGGTCCACTTTTTCACTGAAGAGGTGAAACACCAAGGCCCTGGGAGTTCCCTGGAGACAAGGGCACCACAGTCCCCTGGTCACATCCTGACTCTAAATCTCCCCTTTGCTTTCCCACAGCCATTCCACAGGAGTTCTGCCTGGCAACACCAGAAAACTGAATGGAAGATAATGAAGAATTGGAGCAGAAGAGCAAGAATATGGAAGTCATTTACTGTCAGGGGACGTTCAACGTTACAGAATCCAGTAAGTTGCATTTTTTTTTTCTTTGTGTGCCATTTCTCAAGGATTCTCTGTTCCTTATCAGTTCCTATTAGGGGAATGAGTGGAGCTGCACACAGTTCTCATCACTGAGATCACGGGAAGGGGTACCTGCTTGGATTCCTTCCAGTAACTCCCTTCAGTGACTCTTTTCAACGTCAGCGGACTTAAATGTATTAGATTATCCATTTTGTTGTAACTGATGGAATTTCATTCTTTGTAATGGCTAAGTAAACATTTTACTAAAGATATATAAGCCTGTATTTCTGCTAATAAAATACCCTTGCTCCACTCAAGACCTGGGTCCCCTGTGGCCTTCTTTCTGTCTTCATTCTCGGCAGAGCGTGGAAACCTACCGAGCTCACTTTCTTGCCCGGGCTTTCAAGACCTCCTTGAGAGGATGCCCTGTGCTTTCATGAGTGGTACAAGTCCTGTGAACGTTGGTATTCCATGTAACCCGAGAGATACTGCTCTCTCTCTCTCTCTCTCTTTTCATCGATTCCAGCCCACCAGGTTCTGGTCTGTATTAATGAGTGACCATTTATTTCTTCTTTC